TGATCAATAGCTTTGCGCTTATAAGGCAGAAACACATCCAGGTCTCAGTAATAAAGAGAGCCTTGCTCTCTTGAGAGGAGCTGCTATGAAATATGATGATGACCATGTACTGCCGGCTATGGAATCAGAGAGATGGAAAATGGGAGCAAGGAGGGGTGGAGGGACAGAAAGAGAGAGACTTCCTTTCTTTTTATTATTTTATTAAAATGAAGTTAATGACGTGTAAAGAGCCAGAGTAGTGCTTTCTTTTCTGCATAGCACATGACCAGACTAGCTCACTGAGGCAGATTTGGCATGGAGGTTTTATATACTTTTACACAAACAACAAGAAATCAAGTGCATATCAGAGAAGAAATGATAATCTTAGGTCTTTTGTTTCCATACACCATGTCCAGTGAATAGGCTGGCAGAGCTTCAAAGGCTGGTAATGAGAGAAGCCTCCCTGGATACTGGCTGACATCTTAACGCGCCGGATGGCCCGGGTAGGTGGCCAGCTGACCATCAGACTGATTGAGTGGCTAATTGGCTAACTGTCTGGGTGGGGGGACCCAGACAGCCCCGGCCAACATGTAGCGAGACACAAAAAATGATCATCATTGCAGTGTGATGACTGCAAATCACCTTGAGTTCCCTCTAACGCCTAAGCAACACGCAGTCAAGGTCACAGATTCATTTTTGTTTGATGATGCCCTATCACTCTTGTGATGCCTGAGATTATAGACAAACCCTATATGGACACAGCGGATGTAGACATTTACAAAGGATTTGATAACGTCAAGAATACAAACGTAAAGAAAATCAATGCATATGCTGCTAGTTAACTTTTGAATTCTACTCAAACGGGGTAACATTTCAGGAATCCAAGAGCAAACCAACCCTGTGCTTTATCTGTTTATAACATGTCGGCTTCGCAGTATAGCTGCAGACTCTGGCAATGTCCTTGAAGACAAGGGTCACCATAGCAGCTGAGGAAAGGAAGAAATGTGCACACAAAGATGCACGTGTGTGCGCGCGCACACACACACACACACACACACACACACACACACATTTCCCTCTGGTTCGATGTTTTGAGGTGAGCCGTCTGACACGCACAGAGGACAACTTCCTTCAGTCTCTATATAACAGACACTACCTATCACTGACAATGGGAAAAAACAGCATTCAAGGCTAAACATAGGGAGACACAGAACACTAGTCTAGTCCATTATTCATTATAGCATGGTTATACATCATATTGCAACAACTAAGTGACCTCGCTAGATATGATGGACTCTAATATGTTGTGTTTATTTACACTAGTGCCTGACAGAGCATAAATGCGTGTTTTATCTCAAATGGGATTTCAATGCTTGGCCGAAATTGGATAATAAAAACAAAAGCGTGTCTTCCTGCCAAACAGGCAGGCAGCCAGCCAGTGGCCAGACCAGCAGGGTATAGGGAACAAAGGAACTGAGGAGGCAATATTTCACTCAGGGCAAGCAGCTCCTCTCATCTTTCACATGGCAATGCAAATCTACAGCGGCCAAGATTTCACACAGCCAGACAGAACTAGAGGGGGCTAACATTTCACTTGTCCAATTTCCTGTTACTGGGCACCACCCCCTGCCTGATATCACAATTTCCCTGGTCTTTTGCTGAATAGGTCAGTGGCCTGTGGTGCTTACAAAAGCTCTGCGTGCAGGTTTTAACGTGTTAAATACCACTCAAGTTCACCAACTCATCTAAGACACGACAACTTAGACAAAGATGCAAGGCGTCCTGGCAGTCTATTAAAAGCACGAGGTGAGAGCCCTGAGGGGTGAGGGTCCCATCTATTATTTAGGGGCTGCTGACACCGACACACTGACGGGCAAAGACGGGGAATCTGCTCTCTGCAGCAGTCTGGGCTGAATTCCAGCAAAAGGGATGCTGAATATAGGATATAAACAGGGAAATGCCCCCTAATAACAATTACATGTATATCATCCTTACATGTCTTTATTACATTTGGGGAAATATTACAGGAATTTCTCACATCATGTAGCAAAAGATTACTATTACATATCATAAGATCACTATTTACTCTCTATTCACTACCAGAGAGTCAGATGGAGTCCCATCAAGGATAATACAGTCAGTGATTTTCTTTCTAGGTCACTACTAGAATGATTTTAATTACAGTAAATCACACCAGGAGCCGGGTACTAATAGTGTGTACATGTAACACAATGACCGAGCTAAAAAAAAAAAAAACACCCGGTGCTTTGAAAGCGGACGTGCACCTACCGGTCGGTATCCGAGGGCCAAGTGAAGACAAAGCAGCAGGGGATGAGCTGCGGGATGACAGCGGCACAAAAGCCTTGCGCTCCTGCGAACAAAGCGGGCTTCCCGGCTGCTTCAGCATCCTCGCTCATTACTTTGCAACTTCATCAGCATCGTTTCACGAACTCGACCTGGACTTTAACTCGCTAGTAAAATCCACCGCTTCGACCCGAAGCTTTAAATGTGTCTACGAGGGGAGGAAGACGTGCACCGGCTAGTCATTCAGAGTCACCGGAGGGACCTTAAACTGTGAATGGCCGCGTGCTTGACTGAATCAGAGCGATGCTGCCTTCACGTACCCCTCGTAAGCTCCCCCTTCTGAGTGCTCCGTGTGTTAGTGGTGCATTTCATGGACGTTGGTTGTCAATAACAACAGTTCCTTGCTTGTAGCACCAACTGTGGGATGTCTTTAGCGTCGTTTCTCCCAGGGCACACAATTAAACGGCCCATAATGCAAATGTGTGTTTTTATGTCTGAATCAAAATGTTCTACTTGAACACCACTCGAGAGATTTTTTTGTCAGAAATGTAGTTTTAAATATTTTCAACACAGTGGAAAATTAGTATTTTGGAAAGAAGTGTCAATAAAGCTCATGTATTATTCAGGCTAATTATCTATTAATGACAAAGTCATGACAAAGTCATAAATAGCATTTGTTGTGTAAGGGACACATGTTTATTTGCGATTGTTCTCGCCAGATCGGTTGTATCCGTTTAATGCATAAACCCCGAATTTTCCAGAGGAATCACTTGATCTTTTTTTTTAAGTAGGCTCAAACTGGCAACATAACTGCACTATTTCCCACATCACTTGAAGGCCTCATCAAACTGGTACTTATTGAATCGATGCAGTTTTCCTTGTCGAAAAACAAGCATGGCGGGGGGGGCATTAATAAATAAATCTGAGAGAACACAAACTGTACAATATACAAAATGAATATTATAGGCCTCCAGGTATAGGGGGAAATAAAGTTGTTAAATATATGCCATATAAGAATGATGAGCTGTATAATTAGTAATCAAAGACGCCCATATTTAAATATAGGCCTAAAGGATTCTTACTAGGGATGCACTGTATGGATTTTTTTTTCAGCCGATATGATAACCGACAATTACCTGCTTTACCACCTAAGGGTAAGAAGGGTTGAGAGATTGATGATTTACTATTCCATAAATCTGATCTAATCAAATCTTATCGACATCATTGTTGTTAACGCAACAACAAACAAACAAACAAACAAACAAACAACAGGTCTGACTCTTCTGATGTTCCAGTGTAAATTTTGGCTTCATAGCCATAAGACAAACGGTGTGCTGCTGTAATGTATAGTCAATGTCACCTCCATGACACCAGGGGACTCCTTTACACAACATGTAATACCACATCAGCGTTTCCAGGCTGATACCAGAGGCACAGCGCTGAATAACTCTTGCTGTCGTGTACTGATGAGACTTTTGTACATTTTGTAATTTAGAATAGTATCGACAGCATAATCATATCATCTCTTTTACAAAGGTCAACTCCTAACTCCCTCTACATTTTATGATCCAGATGGAGCCATCGATAGCTAACCCCCGGCTTTCACAATAATGCTCACTAGGAATTCAGATCATGCACACAGTGTGGGATTAACCATCGGAGCATCTGTCTGTACTACAGCACCGACCTCTTGACTATCTTACTATCTGTCCACTGGACAACGAAGGCTGTGCTGTTTCTATATCATTTATTATCAAGTGAACTCATTAGTTTACAGCGATTTCAACCCACTTTCTGACTGGATCTTTTCAATATCAGCAGAGTAGTAAAGTTACAGGTCGTAGATCCATCAAACAACGACGATTCCTACAAGTTTAACGCAGATTACCAGAGGGGCTAACATGCCCAGACATGTTAAACCAATTTTGGTTAACGTACAGTTAAACACATAGTTTGTCACCAGCAGGGTGTTAGCTTCATATAGCATCCGTTAACTTTAGCGAAGATACATAAAGTGGCAAATGAAACAGTGATTGATACATTTAACGCTGAGCTATTTCACAACACAAACAAACCACGGCCACATCGGCTGGACGCAGGTTGCAATCAGACAGCAACATTTACTCCCACTACCTTTAAACATTACACCGCTGCTAAACAGAGAGCACTTCAGGAAACAAACTGAGCTGCCGTCCTCGCTTTTAAAGTGTGATTGAGTATGAACTACGATGTCAGAAGCAAGACTTCACCGGACACCCTGCTGTACAGAGACTTTAGAGCAGCTAAGAGGATTTTAGACTTTTTGGTTAGGCTGTTAAATTAGCGTTAGACGCTAAGCTAAACACATCGCCGCGGCTAACATTAACATTAGCTAGCTGGCTCTATCGTCAAGAGTTTAAAACAACTTTTTTATTTACCTCCGTGCCTCACATTGCGATACGACCTGTTGTCCCGGTCGCTGTACATTCACTCAGATACGTGGACGACAGAGTGGCAGCAGTTTTGGTAGAAAGCCCCGGCTCACAGCAGAGACAGGAGCTACACTTGTTTGTGGACTCTTTGTTTTGATTTTGGGAGAGCGGAGATCACGCGAAACATATCGCGAGACAACCACACATCCCAAGGTACAACCTGCCGCGCGCACACAAACAGCTACTATTTCAACATCAATAACCAATTAAACACAATTTAATTCTTTATTTTTTATTGATTCACATTTTACACACATAGCATAGGACCTACGTCTAAAAATAAAACGGCCTATTTTATGCTGGATAAAAACATTTAAAAAAATATATCATTTATTTCTATGTTGATGAAGTGCATAGTCTATTATTAAGCCTAACCTTACAATGTCCGTTTGACGTTTTACAGTCAAAATCCAAGAAAAAAATAAGTTTCATTATAAGTAAGTCTACAGTGTAAAATCATACATTTATACGAAATTGACATGAAATAAAAGAGGAATGCCCGTCGATAAGGGCACTGTCCAATAATACACAGCACTGTTGGTCCGACTCTGTCTCCTTCAGCTTGTTGAAGTAAGCAGCTTTATGAGTGGCTCACAACACCACTTGTTAAGTTAAAGTGCATACACAACGGGGAAGCTTTGCCTCGTCGAGGCTCAGTTTCCCCTTTTATCAGTTCCATAAATATCAAGTTCATAAATAAAATGAAATAAATAAAGTGAAAATGTAGAATAAATAAAATAAAAGAACATTCTAACAATAGACGGACACATCCAGACGTCTTCAAACGCTTTTTCCAAATAGAAAAATAGAAACTAGCCTGTAAACCTCTGTAAAAAGGATGTTGGAAATGTTGTTAAATAAAATCAAAATCATGACTGCTTGGACTTGAGGAGCTTTTCCAAGAGGTTCAGAGCGTACTGGATCTCCTCCGGTGTCAGGTCGCTCAGGTCGGGCAGCTCCTCGGGACGCAGCCTCCTCCTCGTCCGGCCAGCCTCCCCGCTGCTGCCCCGGGCCAGCGCGGTGTGGATGCCCCGGAGTCTCATCTGCAGCCACTCCCGGCGCTCCTGCACCTGCCTGTGCTCCCCGAGGTTGTGCATGAGCTGGACCTCACTCACCGTCCTTTTTCTGTAGGAGCATGAAATATAAGTTTATGTGAGCCTGATGAGGTAATGAACTTGTAGGCCTAATTAGGTGGTCTTAATCTGAAGGGGCCGATAGGAGGAGGGGGGCTGTTACCTTATGGGGCGCCCTTCACAGACAAAGAAGAGGTGTAAAATGCAGAGTGAGATGAAGACGGTTTTATAGTCCAGATTGCGCATGTTGACCTTGATGACCTGTTAAAATAAAAATGAAAAAAAAAATTCAAAATACAACATTTACAAACTTTCAAAAACATGACATATATTGCAAAAAAGAGAAATAAATAACATAATTTTAAATGCCTGACCTTCAGCCTTATGTTAAAATAAGGAATGTTTTAGATATGACCAAAGTCAATAACATTTTTTTACATTGTGTGTCTGGTTTTATCTCGCCATCCCAATATTCCACATATTAAGCATTTAAATATATCACAATATCAGCACCCCCCAAAAAGTTTAATTTGACCAAAATAGATAAAGAATTGAAGTTGAGCTAGGCTGTGTTCGGCTTTAAGGTAGAACAAGCTGAACATACCTCTGATGGTGGCTTCTCTTCAGTCTGATAAAAGAAAAAGTTGTGTACCAGTTGTGGTTTGGTGGTTCACTCCTATCAGTTATGCTATGCACTGGACTCTCCAACTTCCTTTTATAGCCCCCGGGTCCAGCCATTGATGAGCTGCCTTCATTACTGCTATTGATGTCACACCTTCAACTCCTGGAGGGGGCAGGACGGGAATGACAACACCTCCTCTGAGCTTCAGGCTTTCACCACTGTCATACCAGACCAAACTAATGGCTCTGCATGTTGAACTCAAATACCTTCACACTCACACTCACACACACACACACACACACACACACACACACACACACACACACACACACACACACACACCAACATTCCTAAACCTTTAAAGGAATGCCTGCATTTCCCTGACATTTGGTGCCAAGTGACATATCATTTCTCCTACTACAATGTTTAATTGTATGTTGAAATATAAATTTCAATAAAAGTAATCACAGGAAGATTATACAGTAATTTTACTGAACGTGTTTTACATAAGAAACCCTGTTTCCCAGACTATACTTTCCCAAGCACTTTTTAAGCCAAAAGTTCCCTCCACATTTTCAATTTTGCATGCCTCTCTGTTATTTTTTTCCCTAGAGTGGCCAGATCTATTAGTCCACATCTGATGTGACCTTTTTTTGTCTGACTCCCAGCCTGCCTCACAACAATAGCGCCAACATTTGGATGGATTTATGACTCTCATTGACCATTAGGGAGTTTCCCTGGTTACATAGGCACTTTACTCAAGAATTAACATTGTTTTAATGAGTTCACCTCCCAAAAAAAGAGCTCTCACACTGGCCTGACGTCAGAGAAAACATCCTGAATCGAAGAGTAAGTGGGAGTTCAGGAGGTGTGTCAGTGGGTGATGCTGTTGCCGTCACTGTCTCGGTCATGAGCGGTGTGTGCGTGTACATGCTTGTGTGTGCGGGTCAGCTTGAGAATCTGAACATCTGGAGGATTGTGACTTACACAGATAGGCTATGTGTTTTCAATTCAGCTGCAATGCTTGTTAAGAAAAAGCAAAGGGTCATTTCACTCAAGAACATATTCCCCTCACATACATTGTAATATCTTGTAATATCTAGTCTGACCGATACAGGATTTTTTTTAGGCTGAAACATAAATATTTGAAAGTTTAAAACGTGGTTATAAAATATCGGCTGATAGTAAGGTTTTACAAAAGGACCCCTTAAAAATGTACATTGTTAGAATTATGACCATGATTTGTAATGAACAAGGTGGCCAAACTTAATAAAGGGGAGACACTAAGTCTAAATTACCTCAAAAATATATTTCTGTACTGCAATTCATTTATCTGCCAATACAATGGCATACTAAACACTGTTAGCAATATATCTGCAATGAGCTAATATTGGCCGATATAATGCTCCGGCTGATTTATCAATCTAGCTATATTACTACACATGTAGAGCAGCTTTCTCAAACTTTTCACATCACACAGCACCTCAGAATACTCTTCTCTTCAGGTACCAACATTATGACTTATGTGAAAATATCATGGTGTAGACCGACCCAACCGCAGACAGTTCACACAGGAGGCAGCTTTAGTCCTAAAAATAAGAGTATTTGTTGCTAAATGTTGTCAGCCACACTGTACACAATGGTAGCACTAAAACTCTTCTACACAACTAACAAATAATTTTTTTCCAAATCACTTAGTCTAAAATCTGAATATGTTTAATTTGACAGCATTAGACACCAAACTGGGGACCTCTAAAAAACATTTTTTAGAGGTGTCAACCCATGCCACCCCTCTAGATCCGCCCCTGTAACAAACAAAAAAACAAAACTTATTTTAAATTATCTCAATCAGTTCTTCAAAATTTTGTAGTAATTTGATAGTATTATATCTTTTTTAAGTTTAATTTGAATTATTTAATTATTTAAAAATGCTTTAATGGCAGCTTTAGTACCACCTGGTCTGTGTACACATTTTGAGAACCAGTGATGTAGGCAGTTTTGGTTTTATCTGCCCAGTTTCTAAGATATCCACTTTAGGACTTGGTTGTCTTGGTTGGTCAGGATACACAGACCTCGCTGTGGATTGGTTTCACAGGAAGAAGATTAACTTTATTAATCCCCACTGGTGAAATTCTTTTTCACTCCAGGCCAGAAATACACACACGGGGCTTATAGACATACAAATGTGGAGATGGTGGGCTGAAGTGGAGTTTCATAGTGATAACTTTTGCTATCAAGATTTCAAATGTCATTTTCAGTACTATGAGCACCACGGAAGAATTTCCCCCACTGTACAGGCCTTTTTTACAGTAGACATTTTGAATTAATTAAATTATTTTTTTTATGTCTCTGTATTAAATTATTTTGGTTAGTTATGGAATAAGGTTTTGAGAACTTGACAGGGTCAGTTATTCATTTAGAAAAAAGACAAGAATGATACTGACTGTAAAAGATGAAATGGAAAAAAGTAAATTCCCATTCATAGGTAAATGGATTAAAAAGAAACCACAAATACAACAATTCAACATGGAATTCAGACACTACATGGACTGAGGAACATAATAATGAAAACAGTAGAACTTTATAAAGCCTTACATATTTTTCTTTCATATCTTTGTTGTGTTTTACTATGTTATATCATGTTTCGTCCTGTACTGTCTTTTTGTGGAATTGTATACTTTGAAGGTGATTTAAACATGTTTCAGTAAAAAAGAACTTTAAATAACATCAGTGATGACACGGTCTTATTTAGGTGATGGAGCATGCACAATACCAGGAACCTTACATCCAAACGGTTGTGTAATGTAAGCACATTTACTGAAGCACTGCACTTAAGTACACTTTTCATTTATCATTCATTTAGTCAATTCCAGCTGTGCTTTTCCTACATTCAAAATATGTGGAAAATGCCGATTGGGGTAGTGACAGAGGTGAACAGGGGTTAATATCTTAAAACCTGGATAAATTAGACCCAGTATTCTGTGTGATTTGGGTCAACTGACACTTTAAAGTTTTAAGGGAAATTTGAATATAGAATAATAATATTAATTACATTCAAATAACAAGGCGTTAAAAAAGAGGTTTCTGCTATTCACCTTGTACTGTAAATGAAACATTTTAAAAATGTTCTTACAATATGGGACTGTTTTCTGTATTTTCTTTTCAGTTTATGAATGATCATCTCTTTGTCCATTCGTCCATTAGCGATTTTATTTCCTTCAAAGAGGTAATGTGTGTCATACAACATTGCTTTTATCCCATGGAGGACAGTAATATGCAGATGCCGTCAAGTCATATATCAGCTAATGGTCCATTGGCATAAGCCTCCTTTAGGCTACCATGTAAGGTTAAAGGATTTTTGTTTTGAAATGAGTAAACCAAACTCAGGAAATGAGCTTTCTATTTTTTGTTTTGAAAACAAAAAACAACCCTTTTTTGTTTAAAAAAGGAATAAAACGCAATAACTACCGGTTTTCATTTTTTTGTTTTGTTTCCCATATTTATAAATGGTAGTCAGGAAACAGCTTGTTTCCCGATTTTTGTTTTCTTATTTCAAAACATAAATCAGTTGGCTGCTAAGTGCACTGACCATATAGTCATCTTACAAACTACACAAAAGTTGAATAATAATATGAACCCTCCACCCACCCTCCCTCTCTGTCACTGAGGCACCAGGGTCAAGCTCTCCCCCCTTGGCTTTCAGCCACAGGTGTCCCAAGCAAGATCAATCCATGGGACCACACAGCTCATGTTAGAAGGAAGCACCCTACTACTTATTATGGTCACACACTACACGTTAGGTAACCACGAGGGTATGAGTTTTCTAAATGTAGCATGAGCTGGGAATGGCGATGTCATGACATGGAGGCCATGTAACACCAAGTCTCTTCATCTGTGGTGAAACCAATTTAAAGGTTATCAAAACTGGAAACGAGACTGCGGTTGTAGAGTGAAGCATCTCATGACGAAGGCTGGCGGGAGAGTAGAAGTGCCATTTTATCCAAGGAAATTGCAGAACCTAAAACCTTTAAATCACCAGTGTGAAGGATGCCATGGTGATCATTCCTGACGGGTCCAAACATATTGATCATCGTCCTCGTGTGCTGCTTAGACCTCCTCCTTCCGTTCCCACGAGGCTAAAGGAGCATGACAGCATTAGTAGAGAAGGACGAGTATGACGTTATGCCGAGCAGCTCAAAGGCTTATAAGTAACTTTTCATCTCAGCAAAGAGCATGACAGAAGATGGAAATTTGTTGAAGTGTATCTGAAGACACATTTCAACAATTTTCCATAAAAAAAGTTGATTTTCTTTGGTTTTACTTGAAAAATATTTTATTCCAACAGTGCAGCTGTGAATGAACCATCAAAGTTTGACCATGCCATTAAAACACAAAGTGATCCAACAACAGTACTGATTATCCTCTGAAGTCAGCCATTGCACCTGTTGATACATAAACAAATGTCTCGAGTGGTCAGTGACTGAAGTTGTTTACATACCAGCTTCATAAGATTTACAGTGATCGGTGGGGCCTTTCACAGACACTGACCTGCACTTGCTTTCCTGTGATACTATTACGGACTACAGTGGACACGGCCTGTTTAGATGACACCCGCTGAACACATCAACCTCTGACCTTAGCTTGGGTCCTAAACCTTGTTGTCCTCATTACCTCATGCTGCCTTAATGTGTAGCATGTCATGGCATGCAAAGGCAATGCTGTGTGTGGGAATACAACCAGGCAGGATACTTCAAGTCAAAGTGAGCAATCCCACAATAACAAAAAAAGGTGGCCCCAGCAGTCAAAGGGTACCAGATACAGGATTAAACCATTTGTAACAGATTCATCTTTATACCTAGAGCCCCTGTGCTAAGTGGAGCTGTAAATAAAGGAATTGCTAAGTTTGTGGGCATGACCCTTGACCTGACATTCACTGCTATTGCAAGTCAGGTGCATCAGTAAGGCAAGCTGGTCCCCAAGACTTAAGAATAGTTACAGGGGAGTAAATAGGGAGAGGGGGACTGCTATTTCAGGTTAGGCTTTGACTTTTATAGAGGGTGACGGCATGTTCTGAG